CGGCACGGGCATGGGGAGGGCCGGCGCCGCGGCCAACGGCACCCCGCAGAACGTCCAGGGCATCACCTCCTACCAGCAGCGGTGAGTAGTCCCGCCTGAGCTGGGATAGTACCCTGCCCTGGGGGTGCTGGGGTGGGACTCACTTTGCTCCTGTTTTGTGCCTTGCAACACATATGCACCATCACCAGGGCTCACTTTGCCTGCCTTCGTTCTGTAGATGAGGAAGAAAAAAAATCACAATCCGAATTGAAAAGCACCCCACTGCACTGGCGAAGTGAAAACCATCCTTTGCCCTCTTGCCTGGCCCGCTTTCTAGAACCTCAGCCGGGAGGAGCGGAAGAGTTGCAGCGAAGTCTGTGACGCCCGCACTAGGTGCTTTTGCAAAGTTTGGGATCCTGGGATTCTTGGCAGAATTTTCTCAATGCCTCTGCCGGGTGCGGATCCGCCCTGACGGACAGCTAGGGGGGCAATTGACCACCGGAGGCTGATTGACCATTTGTTTCCAAACAGAATAGGAACGATTTTCACGTGTAGTGGGAGATTTGCAATTCTACATAATAGTGTTATCATGTCACCTGTTACTACAGGAAAATACAGCATGAAATCCGAGTCTTTTTTGGCGCTGTTAAGTATTCATTTTAAACGCATTCTAATGCAAATGGGTAAGATCCAGAGATACAAGTTAGGGAGCAAATTTTACAAAGTTAGACTAGGTGAGAAGTTTTTAAGCCTTACTAGCATGTATTTCTCCTAGACATATTTGTAGATTTAAAAATATGGATGTGACACTGAAATAACATTCTTTGATCATACTGGCAAAGAAAGAGAAAAAATATTTACCACCACAACCATCCATAGATCCTAAAGTTTTTCCTTGAGGACAACTTCCCATGTTCCCAGATGTTATCAAAAATGTTATCCACAAAAAATGCGCTGGGAAAAACTAACAATGTAATGAGAAAGGTAAGCTCCCCAATTGTGGGCTGAATTTTATGGAAGATGGAAGAAAAAAAGAGCACATGAAAGTGTGAAATTAAATATTTGTGTTTCCCAGATTGCACACGATTAAACATCTGAGAGATTTGCCAATGGCATTTAACTTAAAATATACACAATGCATAATTCAAATAACAGTTCCTATTTTTACTTTGTATTTGAAACTTCATTGATTTGAGAACCTTTGATTTGAACCAACAGTATTTAAATTGAAAAGGTTAAGATAATCCATCATTGCCATATTTTGTGCCTTCTAACCAATGGCCCGGTGACCAGAGCAGATTTTGCATCATACACTGAGTGTTTTCAAAGTTCATGCCCAATATTACAAATATTTTATAGAATACTTCATTACATAATGTGCTTATTGTCGGAAGTTTTAAAAGGAGTCTTGAAAATGATGCAAAAAGAGGCCATTCCTCATCAAAGAGATTTTTGACTTAAATTATTTAGGTCTTGTTTTACTTCAGTGATTACAAGAACCTTTAATACAAAAAGATCTGGGAATCTTTCAAACATAAAGGACAAGAAAAGAATTAGATTTTTCCTTTTCATGTTTCAGGTATGGTTTTCTTTTTGTCATTTATAAAACATTTAAATGACAATAGAATCAGCCGGTCAGTCTAACAAGGAAGTTCCAGCAATAGTCACAATAGTGTGGTCTTCAAAGTAGGGAGTCAAGGGTCAGAAATGTCAAATGGCCTTTGGATGATTTCAGGGACCTCCGGGGAACTTCAACTAACCTTTAAGATAAATTGGCATAAGGGGCAGTCATGAATTTTCAGTCTTTAGGCTTGCTCTGAGTGTTGTTGCTGTGCTTCAGAAAAGATTATATTGAACCAGTTTTCTCTCGTCAGGAGCGTTGAGTTGAGGGGTAGTTCTCCATATTCCTTGCCACCTCAACACTGAAAGTTGCACTAGTGTTTTGCACCTTCATCTTTTAATTTGGACCACTTGTCAACCCTCTGGATCCTCTGTGTTTCTAAAAAACTAAGGCTGTAAAAAGAGTCAACTCAAAACTTTAGCCTTTGGGCTGTATTATTTCTTCCCTCCCTTTTTTATATTCTTATGTTGACAAGAGGGAAGCGGATAGCTGAGAAAAACACATATTTTGGATTTGTTGCTCAGATGTGATGACACCTGTGACTGTCTTTAATTTTAGTTAATTTGGGGGCAGAAGAGTGAGTCATGTGGGGCAAGATTATTGGCAAATGTTTGAGAGAAGGTCTGAGTCAGGAGTCTCCTGTCCTCTGACACTTCATCAAGATTGTGGGCCACGAAAATGTCAGGCTTCAGGGACTCTGAGGGGGCAGACTTAGCTTCCACCACAAGACCTGGATATGTGTGCTAAAGTGAATGGCCACACAGCATTTTACCAAAAATTTTTTGAAGTATTTCTTGGGAGTCTCATGAAGGAGTGACAGGAGTGAGGGTTTCTTAGCCACAGTGGTCTTCCTGTTTGGTGACCACAATCTTCTTTCATTTGTTCTCTTTGGGCAGAAATACCTCGGAGGGACTGTCCTGGAACCCAAGCCTCCAACCAGCAATATTCTCCTTTTTCCACCAGCCCATACATGTCTTGTAGGCAACACTTGACACTGGTTCATTTCTCAATCACTCGTTTTGTCCTACCTGTAGAGTGTACTCCAAAGATAAGTCCAACACCATCGTGCAGATTGAACACCTTTGCCATGTAAAACACTTGTGCTTTTCATGTAAGTTTCCAAGTCCCGGCCCTACTCTACTGGAATGGTAGGACCGAAAAGAACCCCCTTTTAGGTCTTTTTTCCTCCTAAAGTTTAAAGTAAAATGCAAAGCCTCACATAGGACTGATGTTGTTTTTTATCAGACCCTTTCATTTATTCAAAGTAGAAATGCTTTGGGAGTTCTTCTTGCCTGGTTGAAACACAGATGACCCAAGTCTCTGCATAAAAAGCCGCCCTTCCTCTGCAGAGTGGTTTAGGGTAGAAAACACTCTGATCAAACCTACCCAGCTAACAAGATTCCAGCGCTGGCCCTGCATCAAGTCCCTTGGTCTCTAGGCCTTGCTGAGCTGTAAAATGGGGAGGCAGCTGGGCTAGACGCTATAGGCCAGCAGCGCAGTCCCTGGTAACAGGATCTACATCAGGAAAGGCGTTTGTACTTAATTGCTTCATAACACCCGAGGATTCATTCACCTGTGAAGCCTGGGTCTGCATATATGTATGTGAACGAGTACTGCAGATATTTCGGCACCAGGGACGAGGTTGAAAGCGCCAAAGCCACAAGGCGCCAGTGCGGCAGCTGCTGCGCCACTCTTGGGGCTCCCTGGGCTACCGGCCGGGACCAGCGCACCCCCTACTAACCCCACCACCACGTAGATTTCCGCTACCCTGGGAGGCGCAGCCCGGACGGCGTCCTGCCCCAGCTCACTTCCCTGGCCTCCTGGTTCCTCTGTTTCTTTCCTTCCTCCTGGCAGCTATACACCAGAGAAAGGAAGTGTTTGAAACTGCAACTGAGTGGCGTTGTTGCGCCAACAGCCGAGTCTCCTAGTCCCCCAACGAGGGGGGGGGAGGAGAGGAG